CTCCAGCTGGCCGGTCAGCTCCGGGTGAGTGCTGGAGCTGAGCTGCGACCGGAGGTGTTCAAGGCGATCGATGGGAATCGCTTTCCTCGCCTGAATCAAACAGGAACGATGAGCAACGCTGAAGACTCCAGATTTCTAAAAAAACACTTGATTTACTTGAAACTACAAATGTTTAACACAAGCTACTTGGGGGGGGGGTAAGAAATTCACACAAATGGCTCAGCTCAGCTAAGTCTGGTATCATGGCTTCACTTCAGTGGCCATCTCACCCTGCTGGTGGTGATCGCGTGCTGGAACATGCAGCAGACCATGGCGGCCAGAGGCCAGGACTCCCTGCGGAGCAGACGCTCCACGCAGCGCTCAGCGGACAACAGGGAGAGGTGGGACAGACGGCCGCTGCCATGGAGACAGAAGAGCTCGTTGCGGTAGACAGCAATATCAACCAAGTCTGCGAAACCAGAGAGCCGGGTTGGATCAATTCACAGGAAAACACAAAAGGAAGACAAGAAACATGATCGATGCGAAAAGGGTTCGATATTATGACCCCTACCGTGTCACTAATACTGTTCCTGACCTATACCAACAAATTTACAGCTTTTTTTTGGGGGGGGGCGGGGGAAGCAGTACAAACACACCTTTAACCTCAGTCCACAGCAGCACTTGTCCGTTGTGAGGTGTGAAGATATAAATTGCTGAGTCAGTCCAGGTCAGCAGGTTTTGGTCTCTACACATCAGAGTAGAGAGTGTGCAGTTCAGTCAACGCTCAGCCGCACTTGCAGTTACATAAACGTTAAGGCAAACAACAGATTCAACAGATTGATAATGGGAGTTTGACAGGCCTGAAAACATAAATTATAACTAACGTTACCCAAAATAAAGCAGCTTCGAGAAGGCAATGGACTGGGGGCTCTTTGGCACTGGGTCGTAATGTTGTGGCTCATCTCTGCAGATGAAAAGACAAATTAGGAAGTTGGCCTTAGAAGAGGACTATTTATTTCAAAGTGGGAACACTCAGTACCTGTAAGTGATGAGAGGGAGAGGAGGACAGGCCAGTGGCTGTTTGAACTGATGGGTGCTCAGAACCTCGCCATTAAAACTGGCCTCCCAGATTCGAGACCCCGGTCGGGCGGAGTACAACAGGGGGGGCTGACCAACTAATAATCCCTTGTTCTGAGGGAAAAAACATGCTCCGTACTCGCCATCCCGCTCCTTATTTCCAACGCGCCAGAACTTCTCCCTAAAGGCGGGTAGAGAGGGGAAAAATACACCAACGCTCAGAATCCATAATGAAAAACACCGTGGCCGCCATTGGACGCAGTATCTTTCTAAAGAACACTCAATGAATCGGGCCCGTTAGAGACGCGGGCAGCAGGTACCCACCTTTCTGTGTCACAGAGGTAGCAGCGGCTCAGGGAAGATACCAGCAGGCGGCCGTCTTGGTAGCCGAGCTGAACCACTCTGGAGTCCACAGTGGTGACGGTCTGAACAGGGAAGATGACGAATCCTGACCCCTAGAAAACAACGTCAAGGAGTTATGGCAAACTCTCTGCAGCCAAGATTGGTATTCTTGAGAGAATAGCGAGAGTAAGCTGCATTTCCAAAGCCACTCCGCCCCCCCCCAAACCATCATTGCAAATGTGGACATGGAGATTCTGAAGCGCCTAAACCTTTTCAGAAGCCACCTACATTTGTAAATGCACAATTTGCACAAATGCAAACAAACTACCTCCACTTTGAATCAGCCATCACTACCTTGCCCGCTTTGGAGGATCCTGCACGGAGAAAAGACACCTTGCCCCCCGCGTCCCCGACAAAGACTCGGAGTGCGCTGGCGTCCCAGCAGAGAGCAGTGACGGCCTGACCTCGGTGTTCCCACGACACGCTGACCCTCTCCGGACGGCCCCGTCGCTCCAGCTGCAGCTCCCACACCACCACCAGACCCTGACTGGAGCACAGGCAACCGCGTGAATACACAGGCAAAGATCCACAACACGCAGACGTCCTTCTTTACTGGTGGGAGAGACCCCCAACCTTGTGGCGACAGCGATGAAGTCCTCATCGTGAGGGCAACACGCCACCTGAGCGATAGACCCTTCCTGAAAAAGAGCGCACGATGCGGGTTCCTTATCGCGTTCAGCCTCATCGGTTAATAGCAGAGCGATGGTGAATTCGGTATTTCAGGCGCACGTTACCTTGTGCGTGAGGATGAGCCTTTGCTTCCAGCCCTCCTTCTGTATCAGGTGCAACCCTCCTGCCGATGTTCCTAAAGCAAGCCACTTTCTGGACACCCCCAAACAGGTACACTGCGAACACAGAGGAGGCACAGAATTGAATCGTCTGTTCACGTTGAATGTTTTAATGGAGCATTTCTCTTACGTGCTGCAGAGCATCCACGCTGCTGATGTGAGGGCGAAGGTTACCTTGAGCCGGCCCGAGTCCAAGCGGAGAGCAGACAGAAGTGGGTCCAGGCAGTCAAACTCCGCCAGCACGTGACTGTGGTTCTCCGGCACAACCGGTATCTGAGGCATGCTGACTGGGGACCGTCTTCCGCTGGGAGACAAGTGACATGGAGCGCCGCCGTGAGGGACGTCAAGAACGGACACTCGGCTCCGTCACGTGCTACACGCCACAGCCACACAACACGGCGCTCAGTAGGACGCCTACTCTCACAAATTGGACAGTCATGACTTCACTTTACATTCCAGCCGGGTTAAAAAAACAACAACTAAACACACTATAATCTGTAGCGTACGGCTGCGATGTTAAATGTCGGTTATCCTTGAGCTGTTATTTAATTTACCCAGAAATACGAATTCTACATGACCATGGGACACCATTCAACTCCAGCACGACATGCACTTTTTGGCGTTTTTGATTTACTCGTTTTGGATTCAGGTGAACTTACGAGAAAGCAAAAGCAAAACTCAAACTCATCATTTGAATAGCGAGATCCAGATGGCGAAGGCTGCGTGTGTGCAACCAGAGGACATAATGGCCTCTCAGCATTACAGCAGGTCACATCTCAGAAGAAGGTGAGAAGTAACAGTCAACTCCGACCTCGGTTCTGTTTGTTAACGTTCTGCTGCAACAGCAATGTTCACTTAGCTGAATTGTCTGGATTTTGCCCGTTAATCACATTACAACCGACACGTTGAACTGGTGGGTGAATCCAGCCATCGGCCTCAGCTAAATGGTTTCTTTTAAAACATACGTACAGCAAAGTACTTCGTTACTTTAGTAACTTAGTAAAGTGACATTACCCTCAGCTGTAATGTCTATGTGGAGAAGTATTCACATCCCTTTTTTAAGGCTCAAAGTAGAAGCAACAGACTGCAGATACTACACACATGAAAACAGTTTGATAAACCCGTCAAATTACCAAATGTACAATAGCCGAGTAACAGTAGAAAGTGGTATGAGATAGAAATACATAGAAAGTACCGATGCCTACCGCGTATCCTGCTCTACCAAGTTAACACAGTACTTTAAATTGTGTTAAACATTCTAAGCTAACGTTAGTTAAACCCAGACGCTGTTTAGTCATGTGACGTCTAGTTTCTAGAGGACGGACGGATCGATCCGATCCACAACACGAGACCAGTCAGCTGACCCCGATGCTGGCGTTCCTATCAAGTCTACCGCGCTGAAAAACCGCAGCAGCAGCGCACACACGTTAAATATACACGACGGTTAATTCAAATTATTCTCACTTAAATTCAGCGCGCCTCTGTGTCAGCTGTATTTTCAACAAGTTAGCAGTCATGCTAGCACGCTAAGGCGGACGGTTCTCGTCGACTTAACGCTCGCCGCCGGCTCAAGTTAAAAGTCACCGAACGGCCGCTGTGACGCTTACCGACCGACTACGGATCCGCACCCGGCCGTCACATCGCTGCTTTCCATCGGGCGGCGGTGGAGAAAGTCAGCGGTCGCTGTCACGCCGCTGTGACGTCAGCCGGCCGACGGGGTCGCGGGTCCGCTCAGCTGACGCGAGCGCGCACTTCCTGGCTTCGACTAATCGATATACTCCCTCAAAAAAAAAATTAAAGGAGCCAGCGGAACGCATTTAATAGAAAAGCTCTTTTGCGAGTAAAAAGTAAAAATGCATAAATGAAACACGTGAGAAGAAGAAAAGTGGCAAGAAAAGAAAGCTCACTTTAATGCACATTTTAGTCGTCAGTGCAAAAAAAAAAGAGAAAAGGTTCAGACCAGTGTTGGGCGAGTTACTGAAAATGAGTATTTAGTTAGATACTAGTTACTTTTAAAGGTAATTGAATTACTTACCAGTTACTGTGTATCAAAAGTAATTAGTTACTCTGGAAAGTAACTTGTCTGCTTTTTAAATGTAATGAATATAAATAGTACGGAACAGTCAAACACAATAAACATATTTTTTAGACCTATTTATTGTAACAGGGCAACAGCCCTTCAAATCAAGCAATAGTACAAAAGTCCTTTTTAATACTTAATACAAAATAACTGTTTCAGGCATTTGCCTGAAGGCAACTGACTCAACAGGATGCATCTCATCTTCAACATGGCGAGCGATCAATCTATTCAGCTCTGCCCGGTTCATCGCTGCACTGCAGTCCGTGTAAAGTGGAGCCCTGGTTGTTTGCGTGGAGCGGCGCCTGCAGCATCCGCGGGCCTGCGGTCCTTCGTCATGAGGGACGCGATGCTGTTTACGTGCGCGTACGGCGACTATTCTGTGACACACAACGTTTGGTGGCCACAACTATTTTGTGCTGACAGGCAGCTATTTACTTACTATTTGCCGGCTCTCCGCTTCGCGTCACACAATAGAGTAACGCGAGTAACGAACTCATTTCAATTTCAGTAATTGTAACGGCGTTAATTTATTTAAAAAAAATACTTCCGTTACATGCTCGTTACCGCTAAAAGTAGTGGAATTACAGTAATGCGTTACTCCCAACACTGGACAACACCAACAAGTGACGGTGTGATTTGAGCCGCACGCTTACACTACTGAACTCAGTGACAGATGGCTTTACAGTATTGCTTTATTAACTTCACCCTTTTGACCCTCAGGGGGGTTCAGGGGATCCTCGTGCATCCGAGCGCTCTCTCCGCTCCCCAGTGTTTTACTGAGTTCCTTTGAGTTTCCATTTGGTCATATTACACAGTTTCAAAAGTTCCATAATTGCTCCGATCTCTCAACCATTCTTCAAAGAACACAAACAAGAGAATAATTGTAGATATTTGTGACTGAGTTAATCTCAGGTTGAACAGCTGGGACGTAGCTGGCGTCCATCTATGGCCTCTTTGACCACGTTCTGCATCTTGTCCGATCAGTACGGTGGCCCTGAAGTGCAAAACACAACGGCAAATAGGAAAACACAACGACATTAACTTCTTACGGAAAGGTTAGGGCCTTATATCAGGAAGCAGAGGACGGACCCTTCTGATTGGACAGACGGACTGTCTGTCTTTTAACCCTCTTAATCCGAAGCCTTTCGCCGGCGACGGAAAGTGGCATGGAGGATTCAAATTACCGTGAGGAACAAAGAGGAATTGGATGTCATCAATATCATTTCCTGTTAAAAGACAGACAGTCCAATCAAAAGGGTCCGTCCTCTGCGATAAGGCCCTCCCCTTTCTGTAAGGAGTTAAATTTCGTTGTGCTGTCCTATTTCCGGTCGTGCTTTGCACTTCAGGGCCACCGTACATCAGGCTGTGGTCTCTTCACAGCCGCCTAGAAAACCCCTTCAGGTCACATGTCCATATTCTGTGATCCCTTCCGTTCTTCGACATGACAGCCGACCTCAGGTTTTCCTCAACATGCGCCGGGTTTGCCAGACGTGGAACTTGCTGTAGGCGGCCTGCAGCATCTCCTCCAAATGCCCCGTGAGCTGTGGGGAGGGGTCAAACACTTTAATACAGAGACCACCTGGGATTAACAGGGTGTAATCATTTATAGCTCAGAGACTTACATTTGTACTCAAGTACTGACGCTGAATCTTCTCCTGGAAGGGACAAAGCTTGGTCATCTGGAATCTCTCAAGGTTTGACTTCATTTTCAGCACCTATAAAAGAAGTGTGGTGATGAGATGAATTCAGAAAGGAAAAAAAAACAGACCGACTGCTTTCTGTGAAAAGAGACTGGCAACTGTAGTGTTGTTGGGGAACTATATTATGTTCTGCTAATTGACAGTTTGGTTTCTTGAAGAAAACATAACTTGATGTCTAAGCAAAACATTTTTCTATATCTATACACAAAATACTGGCACAAGTGTTGGGAAAACTAGTACTATATAAATACATTTGTATTTGCTATTAGAAGGGCCAATTGTTTGTCGTTGCCACAGTCATTTTTGATCAAGACAGGGAATGATGCAATAATAATATGAATATCAAAAGTTATTGTCAGTCACCTTCTCCTCCAAGAATGGCGTATTTACAGGAAAACACGTCCAGAAGTGTCTCAACAACTCTCCAGCAGCTGCATAAAGATGCTTCAACTCTCCTTGAACCTCAGAAGGTACCATCTCTGAAAAGAAAAACCGATGGAATACAAAATAAAACACTGCTGGTTTAAGTGGTTGAAGTTTAAGAACGGGTGAACCTACGAGTCGTCAGTGAGCCATCCGGAAATTTTGAGATGAAAATGAAGACATTTGTTTAGTAGAACACACTCACGATTTATGGCTTGCTGTGTTGCTGCCTTCATGAGGACGCCACCTGAAGAAAGTGCTGCAATGGCAGAACTAGCTGTTGTGTTTGACAACACCTGTAAAAAGAGGCAGAGGAACAGTTTTTCTTTTACACATTTTTGGTTTCATGTACCTCGTTCTGATAAACTGTCAGATAAACCAACATTTCTGTGTGCTCTTAGAATCTGAGCTAATCAAGGCTGAATATGGACCTGACTGAGGTTGGGTTTGTAATTGAGCATCTCGTCCCGGATGTTGTTGACAGAGTTGATGATTTCCTGGCTTGTCGTGTAATGCTGGGACTGAAGTGGCACTGGACCATGAGCATACCTTATCAATACATAGACGGAGGGAGAAAAATTATATTAAAACACCTACTAGTGTTGGCTACTGAAACTTTGAACGGCTTAAAATAAAAAGAACATACATATAAAGGACAAACTGTACCTGTCAGACTTCTTCAGGTTTAATGCAACGGTTTTGGGCCGGTTTTCTCCTTGCAGATCTTCATATTCCATGGTTTCTTGTAATCTAACCTAAGGAAGTTTACCAACAGAAAAACTGATGCAGTGTGGAACATATTTGAAAAAATAAAACATGTGTTGAAACTGCAGAGCCATCATCACCTTCTTTACAGGAGGCTGGAAGAAGTCAGAGTCCCTCGAGTTTCCATCCGTACTGCTCGTCTCACTAGCTGGTATTTCCCTTTAAAAAACGGACACAATTAGCTAAAAATGAAGACATTGTGCAAGTTCGATGCTTCCTAATGTTATTTCTGTACCCCTTCTGTGAGCCCGCTGCCAGCACCATGGCACTGTGATGGTTGAAGCGCTTTATGATGGCAGAATTGCTGCTGTCCTTCACCGTCCGGTTAGGGTTGGAAGTTGAGGCCGTTGTACAAACTCCATAACCCTGTGTCAGAAAAATACCATGTCTTAAAGCCCAAAGAGAAAGACGAAAAAGGAAGCCATGCGAGTAAATCATTTCTGAGTTATTACGGTCATTGGCTAATCATTCTTCATCACCTCGTCTAATGTTTTATCTTCTAACGAGAGGAGGTCGACCAAAGGATTTTTCACTCCTTGAACCACCATAGACTTTAGGCCTGCAAGGGAGAGAAAAATAAACGTATGAAAAGATCATTTTGACGTTCTTTAGTTGAACGTGTTTGAATAATAGATATAGACGCTGCTAGAAAATGAGTCAAAAAGTCAAACCCTTTTCATCCTGCTTGGCACACTCTGAGAAGATGTCCTGTGTCCCTGTGTTGATGCGGTCTCTGTGAAAGTAATGGGACTGGAAGAAGCGGGTCCAGAACTCCTTCTCCGTCAGGTTATGTGGCACATTTTCACAATACTTCTGTTTCACTGCAAGTAAAGTGCAAGTCGACATGATTACATTAAAACACAGTTGCAGTGCCTTGGAACACTATTCGCATATTTAATATAATCCACTAAACTCTTTATCTAAAGATGTCGCCGCTGATATCACAGAATAATTCTTCTTCTCTGGTAGTAAAGTCATTGTTGTCATTCCAAGGTTACAAATCGCATCCAACTAAACCCTCCATAATTCAGCAGCGTGGGCTACTAATAGTGGTATTTGGTACCCATCCATACCGAGCCAGTGTTAAGACAACCTGCTGGCTACTTAGATACGAATGTCACATTAACGATTCTTAGTTTGAGGTCAGTGTACTCGAATGAAAACAGTAGAAAATAGTATGTTTCTGACAAGAAATTCCCCTACACCCCACACAGTGTTCCTATAAGATGTTGTTGTTGTTTACCTGTAGGGTATGTTCTGAAGATGGATTCAATAATGTCAGCAGTCAGATTATATCTCAAGCCATTACAACCATCGGTCTGAGGTCTGATATCTGCCTGTAATACACAAACGAGACATTTAAAACTATTTTGTCACTGCTGAAGTCGTCGATCCTTAATCAATTCTGGAATTTATGGTAAGATGGTTTTAAAAAAAAGGTATGGTCAAATTGTGCCTGTTGGTCTACTCACCAGAAAGGCTCCAGATATACCGACTTCTTGTTTGTTGTTGGATAGAGACGGGTCTGCGTGGTTTGTGTCTCCTAACCGGTTAGCCCAGAACTCATCTGCACTAATCACCTGACTCACAACCAGATCTTTATACAACTGGAAAAGCACTGGATCTTCTTGAAGCATCCTACAGGAGAACAAACAAATATCAAGCATTGAAGTAACTCATAACAAACCAAAAAATAAAAATCACATATTAGATTGCATCAGGAAAACATGAATGGCAAAAAAAATTGTTGGTGATATCGAGTGGAAGGTATTTAGTTATAATTTATTGTTACTCATCAATCTACTGTTACGCATCAAGGACCAGACTTGATACAGACTGAATCATGTTATTACAAAAAAGTAAAGCTCGGAAGGTTTCGAAAGCAGTTCTGCAATATCTTCATGGAGAATAGAATTATCATTGTTGCTTCAACTGTATGGTCTCAATGAGACAAGCCCACTATTCAATATAAAACAAACTGCAGCGTCCGAAATGACACACGGTTTAATCCACACCCTCTTAAAAAGGTGAAAAAGAGTTTAGTCTGGACAAGTATAGTTCAACAACCCGAACATCAAAACACCTCCCAACTTCAGAAGCATATAAATGTTACAAAATGGGAGCAAAGGTCATGGGTCAGAATAAACTATTATGGTTGACATTTTTGTTGAGTTATTAATGAAGTATGTTTCCCTATAGCGTTAGAAAACATGATGTTGGGACTGAAAAAGTACAATGAAGGCATGTGTCACAGTGTGGCTCATTCTTGTGTTTAATGGTTTATGGACACAGTAAAGTTTTATTTTTGGTTAGAACATTTGTAAAATAATCAAAGCACCTTTGTCTCACCTGTTTTTCTCCTCCAGTTCCTTGTTGGCTTTCTTCTTGAACTTTGGCAGCAGCTGCTGCAGCAGCTCCTTGGCAGCTTCTCGGTCTTTGAGAGCAGTGCTGTCATTGGAAAAGTGGAATGTGGTACTGTCGCCCGTGTGAAGCACCAGCTGCAGCTGAATTTTTGCTTTACCATCCGGGCTGATCTTCTGACCTATGCAGAGAACAAACAAAAATGGCGGCTTAACGACATCTCCAACACAACATTACTTTATCGTTCCTCATCATCGGATGGTAATAAGTACTCACAGCGAATATCAGCGTACAAGTGGCTGACCGAGAAGCGGTCTTTACCCTCTGGACCCCAGGCTATCCGCTCAGCCATCAGATAAAGGGTCCCATCCTGCTTCCTCTGGCGAACTTTCTTCACCACCAGCAGCACCTCCTCGGACAGAGATGCCATGGCTCAAACTGTAACAAGTTATGCATCATTAATAACCGGGTACAGATCTAATCTATCTAGCTGATATGGCAGATAATTATTCCAATAAAAGGGTGAAGAACTCACAAATGTATTTAACACAATGCTTTAGCCAGTCGTTGCTGGAACCGCAGTCCCGTGATTGACTGTAGCATGCATTAAAGCCTAGTTTATTCTTCTGCGTGTTCAGAGCGACGCAAGGGACACGCAGACGCAAGAGCCCCTTGCGTGCCTTTTCACACCTTCTTGCGTGCGTCGACCCATTTTTCTAGCGAACGCAAGGCTGCGATTGGTCCGCTAACTACGTCCTTTACGGAGTCTCACATTTCCGGTTTCATAGCCCCAAACCGCATTATTATAAACGAAGAATGTTTACGAGAGAACGGATCAGATTGAAGAGCTTTTGTCGGAAGAAATGCGTAAATATGACCGCTTCTACAAGCCGTCATTGGCGGACTATAAGGACGCGCGGATGGCCTCTGATTCACGGAGGGAGATCGCCGCAAACGCCGGTTTGCCGGTCGATGGGAACAAAGTTGTGGAGGAAAATACGGGAGAAATCTGTCCGCGATGAAATGCAGCAGTGTCGACGCACGGGGCAATAAAGTCAATGATACATAAATTAAACCAACCAAAGACTTCCACACACAAAGACGTGACTCTCTAGGTAGTCTTTAACAAAAACACGTTACCCCACTTATTGTTCTTGCTCTGCAACACACGTAAGACTTTTAGAACCATGACTTGAAACGAGTGCGTCGGCACGACGGTACGCAGAAACATGCGCCAGCCTTTAGCCAGTAACGTTAACGTGACTTGTACGTGTAACAGATATCAAGCACTTTGCACGGCTCGAACTATTTCAGCGGATTCCACTACACCGTCTTCCACCAAGTGACGAAAACTAATCCTATATAATCCCACTCGTTTGTTGAGGGCTTTATCACCTCAACTTAACGTTAGCAAACTAGCATTACGTTAGCTAACGTTAACAATCAAGAAGAAAAAATCCGACGAAGAAGTCGGCAATAAACTTACCTTAACGTTTATAACAAAATACTGCAACAGAAACCTCGCGTTTCTTCAAAGCATAGTATGATATATTATATTCTTGAATACAAAAATAACTGAATGAGTTAATTCACGCGTAATGTTGACTACTCAAACAGTAAGCGTCCCGACTTCACTGCCGACATGCCTGTCAGGCGGTGTGCGCCACTATAAATGTTCCGACTGGAAAACGGGATACACATTCAGTTCCATTAGATGTCTCTGTATTGAACATTTAGCTGTATTAACACTACAAATAAAATCTTATCCAAACGATGATGTTGATCTTAAATTATATTTTGATAAATTGTGTAATCTAATTTGATTGATCAAAATCGGAAAAATATATGTCTTTGTACAAATAGTTTATAAATTGTGCTTGGATGGTGTGGCCATAGAAAAGCATTGAGCTGAAGCGTCTCACACTGATAAGATGTCCCCAGTCTCCTAGATGTAGTGTGACAACAAGTTGGTTCACATGTACAAGCAAGTTTCGGTCGATGCCACCTGTAACTAAACTGAGGTATAAGAGCTGCCCTACCCTGTAAAAATATATGTTCTTGGCAGTCTACTAAGCACGTAGCTCTTGTGACCTTTTTTTCCTTACAAGGAAATAAACGGAGACACTAAGACATATTTGATTGAGAGCCTTTATTCTTATTTTCCAATTGTCAGAGATCTTCCATCACAATTTGGTGTCAGAAGTGGGATTGTTTGAAGTTCCATCGGGATTCTAAGGACGTCCGTAATATTAATATTATGCATTGTATTGCCTTTGTATTAATGCATTTTGAATTTAAACAGTTAATTTATTTTTGCTGCCATCTACAATTATTTGGGTAAAGTTGAATATACTTAGTTACTCTACTACTGAGTAGAAATGACCTAATATCCAGCCACGTTACTTGTGAGGGGATCTCCGTCAAAATGGTTTTCTGTCTATTCTTTAGTTTATATTTAGGTGTATATTCCTGAATTGTGTTATTATTAAATAATGTATTAAATAATGATAACTACTAACTATTAAATATAGTGCACTGCTATAGGCAAAATAAATACATTTTCTATTAAAGTTAAGAGACAAAACCTAATTAACGAATTCCTGAGATAAACAAAACAAGAACACACAATTGCAAGTAAACCATAGATTTTAATAGAGACATATTTCCAGGAGTGTGATACATAAAATGCAGGACAACGATTGCCTCGATATTCCTAACACTCTTGTATTTACAGTGTATATTCAATGGGTAGTGAGTTAATTTATGTTAACAGTGCTGCTTGAAATAATGACCAACAATCATTTAAAATTAAACTCCATCTTTTAAATCTTTCACATATTAACACAAACAAACCCGTGCCCAGAGCAGAATATGGCTGGAATGTACTGTAAGATCAGAATCCATTAGTATGTCTTTTATTTCTCACACCAATTAAAGTAAAATTAAGAGAAACACCCGTTAAGATTAAAAACACCACATTGTTAAGTCCTCATCAAAAGCTAAATGACAGACCAGGACAGAAATATGTGCTGTTATCACACGACACTATACGATCAGTATGAGGGTTAGAAAATTTCAGACCGCAACAACTCTTCTGTTGAAAAGGTGGCGCAGCTGAATACACTGATGTGTGTGTCTTAACATACTGAGTCCTGCTGTCTAATAGTTTTTGTAGAGAAATAATTGTTTATATGAGTATGGTAGTTAATTTTCCACTTTAGTTAAGATAAGTTTTGAAAGTTGTCTCGCAATTAGTCTATCATGTCCCGACAGTCAGCTGCTTGGCAACCACAACTCTCAACTGAAATGTAGGAGTGCTTTATCTTTCGTCCATCATTGCAGGTCATCTCTACCTCCTTCTTACTGGTGATCATTTCCCGACAGCATGAGCATGAATGCATCAAACGCGCTTTCTCCGCAGAGTACCTGTAAATAGAGACAGTTTCAGACAGGATCAGGATCAGCATCAGTCACCTGCTGTTCGATGTGAACTAACATTTAACTTGAAACGTCAAATGAAAACGGAGCAGGTGCTTTTCAGCATGATTGAGTAAGGAGTTTGTGCCGCATATCTCAGATATTTGGTTATAAATCTCACTTTGATGAGGAGTCCCCACAAGGTCCTGCACAGGCGGTCATTTCCACTGGAACGACTGACGTGCATTCGTGTGTCTGCAGATATGTGGTGTTCCTGATAATTTGACAGTTGGTTTTTGGAGTACCTGTGGACCACACACACATAAAACATCTTTTACATGTTGCTACAAAAACAAGCGTGATTTAGTTAAGTGGCAAAATGAAATACAGCCTTTTTAGGCTCTGTTTTAATGCAAAAATATTATCTGAAATTATCTGCAACATTTTCTCTAAGCGATTTTAAATCTTAATCGTTAGCTTTATTGTTCTTTAAAATTTCCAGAAGAAAATCAAGATATTAATTAATAACGCAAATGCATTCCTACAATTCATTTTTGCCTCCGTTGATGAACTTTCCAATAGAATGAGGACTGATGTTGTGGCATTTGAATACATTTTTTTGACCTATACTTACAAGTTTTGCAGCAACCGTTGATGCTACTTTGTTCAGTTCCCTGTGATATACAGACAATACAGATTGTAAAATATGCAGATAGACAACACAATGACACAGACTCTCTTTTGAGTCATGTGTACAGCATTCCTGGTGCAATATATAACGCAATTTCTTCTTCACTGTATATTTGTGTATTTCAGCTCATCTTTTTTCTCATTGGCCAATTTCATCCCATTTACCAGAAATGCATTATCAGAAATAGTTAAACCAATCCCATATTCTACAGTTTGGATGGAACTGGATGAGACGGCAACAGTTTAGATTCGTTACCAAAGATTAGAGCTGACAGAAATAGCAACCTGAGCTTGTTTCAGGACTGGATTATACTTACAGGAATGCAGTTGTCTGGGTCAAATACAGGACATTCTGTTTGCCTTTTAGAGGTTATGAACTCATTCTTCACCTTCTGGCAATCATACGTTGTACAGTTATCATTTGGTGGGGACCAAGACTGAAAAGGCTGTCAGGGGTGTGGAAGAGGTCAATTAGTGAACATGAACATTGATTGGTGCCAAAATTTCTAAAGATGTTCCCATTATACCGTACTTACTTGAATAATTATAGTAGAGAATCCTGGGACGTGCACAACACAGCTTGTTTGTTCACATACTCCACAACATTGTCCAGGTCGTTTTTCATACACATGGCCCTATTTAAAAAAGAGGCACAAATAAGAATAGGGTACTAGAAATGAAATGTATAGATAATTACGAATAAGTAGTATTTACTATTAATGTTTTTACTAGTTTATATGTTTTATGTATGTTTTAACTATAATTTAACTATGTTTTGCTGGCTGTGTCGCACTCAGATATATTAATGAAGAGGGTGTTAGAAATAAAATACATTATTATTATTACTATACATTAAGATGTCCATCTCTGAGATTCTTGCTGCCACCACAATAGAGCTGAATGCAGAGCTGAATTTTGTTTGTACTGCTCAAAACACTATCAGTTCTTACTATGATATCCCAATTATGTTTTATTTGGAAGTCTGCAGACATTTCAGAGACATATGTCTCAACCTGTGCAAATAAAACCAAAACATTTGCATGACTAGATATAACATAACCAGCCAAAGTGTGCTGTTATGTAAAATATTTTTGTACACCATATACTTTTTTGTACACTGGCTTCCTAGTTGATTAAAACCTGCATTGCTGTAGATAAAACGTACCTCTGGACACAATGGGTCACATGCCATCACATGACACTCAAATGTGTTCAACTGGCTTGTGGGATCCCGAGTTTCAGTACAGCTGCATGATTCACATGGACTTTTGGAGAAATCCATACCTGGCTGTAAACAATAAAACGCAAAGTCTGAGCCGTATTTCATATGATGGCCAGTCAAATTAGGTTAAATTAAATTAGAGTTTTAGTAACACAAACATTCTTAGTATATATTCTTAATAGTTAAGATATATACAGTATATCATTCCTTACCTTGTACTCAGTCTTATTGAAGACACAGACGCCTTTGGGTACTAGATTTAAATAATGACATTGATAATCACATTAGAGGCTTATGCATTGTTTAGTCTTTCACACACTGGCAATATAAGCAAATGAATCTGAAATGTATGTAAAAATCTTACCGCAGCTGTAAAATGGGCAGCAGGTGTCATTGGACATGTGGATCTCCAACTCGAAGCCCAGTTCGCACTGTTTTTGCAACGAACAGCTGCTCCTATCGCATTCTGATGGTTGAAAGGAAAGTCATGTCAAAGGCTGGAAAACAGACGATTACTTCCTGTTACCGACCTTAAAGTACAAACAGATGCCTTCATTGATCGACCACCATTCTTTAATGATTGATTCAATGACTCATCATTCAAAGCAGCAGACACTGCCACATTTCATCACACCACAGGACCACGTCATATTTGACGTGACATCTTTCATTTTTTTGATGATGGATTTTCTCTTGCTTTAGACAGGCATCATACAGAAGAGGAACAATGTATGCAGGTGTTTTGACAAATTGACTAGTACTCCTCCACACACGAAATCATCCATAAATCCTTCTATTAAATGTTGTCGGAAAGGTAAAGATGTTTTTACTTTGAACAACTCACCACAGGTCAGTCTCTCACAGCAGCCCACCATGCGTTTCACCAACACCTCACCCTCCTCAGTGCATGTTATTGGCTTTTGAGGGGCACATGTGACAGGCTCACACTGAACGCTCAGAGTGTTGTTATCACAGGTACACTGCTTGCAGTCACTCTGCCAAGCCTCACCCAGCTGTCGGAAAGACGGAACAAAGCTTCTCACGTGTCGGCAACAAATACTGTCTGAATAACGATGATCAGTCATGTATGGTAGCATTTACCTGTTTAGGTTGGCCATCCGGTCCAGTGCAACCTTTAACAATACAGAAGAATTATTTTTCCTGAACATTTTTGTCATTCACCAACAATAATATTTATCTTCACAATAATAAAATGATCTTACAGGCGGAGACGCAGAGGTCAGAATTGGAGCTGAACAGGGTCAATCCCTCTGGGCAGAAACATCCCTCTACGATGCCATCACAGCCTTCATTATTTGTGCCAATTCGTTGCTGGCAATATCGTGAATTCTTCTCATTGTATCTGAATATGAAAACATGTTAATGGAGAAAAACAGAAATAAAACTATATTTATATTCAATCATCAATGAATGATGAGTAAAAGGCAGTGAAGCGCAAGTATTATAATTGTTTCCCCTGTGGATCAGTTTGTTATGACTTTGTTAATGCATTCCCTTTTCTTCTACTTCAATCGTCAAATAAAAATTGGACCTGGTTTTGAAACAATTAACTTTCTAGTAATCTGTCAAGAAAAACTAAGACGGTAATAATGGAAAAGATTATGGCTTAACATCACCATGTTGCATTCTTATGCTTTTGCATTCGGTTCAGCCTAGCGTCTCAGAGCCGCTAGCATGGCTACAGACTCGTACAGTCTTTACAAATTACGAGCTAATGACATTATTTGATTCAAGATATTGACAATAGAATTGAGCAATAACTATACCTTGCATTGCAAGTTGGAACAACCTTTGGCCCACATGGCTTGTAGACCTTATTTCCTGAACATTTGTGTTCTACGACAAGAGAAAATGGATTTAAACATCACAATTATAGGTAGTGTGGAAATAGTCTGTCTAATCTGAAAATAACCATGTTATCTTTCTATTAAACTGAACCTCTCTTACCACACTTCCCATTTGTAGCATTTCTCCAAGGTACACAGACAGACAATTCAGCACACATCATGGCATACACCTCCATACTGGAACAACCATCGGTGGCATTGTGGCAAACATCAAATTTGCAGCTCTCGTAAAATGCTTTTGGGGCGATAACTTTGTGGCATTCCTCAAACACCCTGTGCAAATCAGGAGAAAGACGGCCGTTAATCAGAGTCAATCAGAATGAATTGACATATGGTTTTCATTTCCCTTCTGTAAGTTCTTACTTGCTCATCAGAATTTCGCAGATAGCAGGTTTGCAGAGTAATTCTGGCGCCGGTGAAGGAGATGGGTTCTCACAATGTGATGTACTGTTTTCCACTACACGCCACCAACCCATCTGAGAACAGGGCTGAATCTGGCCATTTGGTAATCGGCAGTCATTTGTCTTGTTATTGTCACAGGTACCTTGTGAAAGTAAATAGGGACATAACAGATGTTACAAGCAATGTGTTACCACATGTGGTACATGCATTGGCACTTTCATATTCAACCACCGTTTGCTTATTTTCATCTATGAATGAAACAGACTACTATTCTGTTATTCTTATGGTGAATTGGTTATCAGCTTACCACACTGTCCCTCTGTGTTGTTGTGGAAAAGGGAAAACGGCAAATCGATGCTGTACACAAGCCCTTTGAACATCACCACGGCTTCAATTTTCGGAATTCTCAATAGCAGCTCAATTGCTGTACTTGTTATGATGAAGTCATCATTAGAGTAGGTCGGGATTACCTGCTTGCCGTTGATGGACACCTAAGAAATTATCATCATCATTAGCACTGCATATTATTTACATATATTCTAATACGTTTTAATTGATTATGGCAAAATGTACCTTATTTGCAGTTGGGTTTCTCTGCTGTGTAAGAGTTATTTCATAGTTTTTGTAAAATACAATCAAGGACTTAACGCAGGTCACAGTTCCAGCAGGATTACAGTTCTCGTTGACGATATGAATTTTTAAACCGTGTTTGAGAATGATCTCTTTGAAGAGGACGTATGTACAGTTTTTCTGGAAGCTGTAATACTGGCCGTCAAATGTCATATAATGAGGATCTCCCCAGCCACTGCAAATACCTGTAAACATTAGATGAGACGACATTGAGTTTTACATCAAAGTAAAATGTTGACATTGTCGGGCTTTTTGTGGTCTTGAAAGTTGTGGCTTGAATGTGATATTTAAAAAAGTTTTCCCTTGAACTTACATCTGCATTCATAGTGGAAACAGCAGCCTTTTTCATCATAAACCCTAACAGGTGGATACCCATTATCACATACGGGCATGGTCACCGGTTCACATGGCACATGTGATGTTATTACTCTTCCTTTATCACATGTTTCTGTGGTGCAGATGCTTGAATTCCAGGACTCACCATCCTGTGAATAGAAAAGTAGCACTTTTAGTAATTCACTACCAGTGAATTGGTATGTTACAGCCCCCCAGGGGCACACATGAAAAAGACATACATCTAGAGTTCCTTTAAGGAAGGAAATGATTTTTCATTGATCAGTGCTAAACAGAAACAGTGTATGCGTAGGTGTTCTCATCAATCAGAATAATGGGTTGACGTTCTGTGATAATTGTCATATTGGATGTATTTGTTGATTTAACCTTCTGTGACATGCATTATGAGGTACACAGCAAAGTTATATTACTTTTATGTAAATTATTTTATTTATGGAGTTATTGAATTTTAATTATGTCTAAATCACTTGTGTCGTTAGTTTGTCTCATTTCGTCTTTTTTGCGTTGATCTTGTGGTTAAAAGTGTCTTCATGTTGTATATTAATGTGATTTGTCATAAGATCCCAAATAAATTAGCTTCAGTTTTGGTTGAGCAAATTGGGGCAAATAATGGATCAATTTAGATTAAACAACCATTTTTCAACCCCTTTTCCAATATTCTATAATGGTATAAGATACTACTCTACTCAAGACTTTCTTCAACACATTCAACAATGAAGCACACATTAATATAATGGACATATTGGAGGCATTTCTAATTACGGAATTATTCTTTGTTGAATTTATCGGCTACTTTAACGTTGTCAATGAGAGAATGTAGAATATGGAAAGTTGCATCTTTTCATCCAAAGGTTGTAGGCTCTCTCAGGAATCAGGAATCAGAATAGATATGCTGTTAATAATGCCAGTTAAGATGATTTGTTCCTTGTTTGACTAAACCCAAATACCTCTCGAGGTGGCTGCAGATACGAACAGGATGTGACTGTAGGTGTAGGTGTAGGTGTATAGGCAGTTGTGGTGCTGATACGAGTTGGTGTCGTGGTCTGATGACATGGTCTAGCATGCTTCTCAACATTGCAACTCAAATTGCAGTATGCAGTGAAACACCAGCCTTCTCCATCAGTCTGATTGTACATGAAGCTTCCTATAAGACAACAAAAACCAAGGCAGTTAAATCCCAAATAACTAATGATATGAGAAAAGCAAGTGGCTGTGCCAGAGTTACAGCTGTCTTTTTGATTCAACATTGGTGAATACTAGTCGAATAACATTAAAGGTTTCTGAATGTGTAAATCCAGATCACAAATAAATTGACTGTACATTATGATGAATTTCTCTAATTTAAATATTTTGGCAATACACGTCAGTGGGAATGCTGTCGGGTCTAAACTTTCCATTAACTAATCCCTCCACTGTGCAGGAGCAGAAACGAACCAGAAGGAGCCACTGGCCCAGGTAAAAGGTGAAAAATGTCTGAGATGAAGCAAATGTTTGAAATGCATGCACTGTGGACATTTAGATTCATCTTAGCAAATTGAGTTTGGAAAAACATCCAAAAGGAACCTAGGCCAACTCAGGTTATGGATTATGAATATAGATGTAAAGGGGATTTTAGTTTAGAGCATGAAACACTTGAAGTTTAGGCTGTAGTTTGGATCAGGTGTAACCATGACTAAAAAAGAATATTACAAAATATATGTTGAATATATAATACAAAATATTAATTAATATTAATTAAAAAAACTGTTGCAATAACCAATTGCTTACCTGGAGAAAATGTTTTATTTATGTACTTGCAGAAACATAAAGTTGTTCCTTCTGTTGTTGAAGAATGAGGAGTTGGTGTGGTGATTTCTTGTTGATGTTGTGTTGGTGGTTGTTTTGTAGACACAGTATGTATTACAACTTCAGGGGTTGCAGCCGTAGTATTTTCTGTGATCATCGTCGTTGTCTCTTTGATTTGGAATGTTGTTGCACCAGTAGTTGGACCCTTTTCTGTGGTTGTAGAAGTTGTGGTGGGCTTTTCTGTGGTTGTGGTGGGGATTTCTTCGGTTGTGGTGGGGATTTCTGTGGTGGTGGTTGGTTTTTCTGTGGTGGTGGTGGTGGTGGGAATTTCTGTGGTTGAAGTGGGCTTTTCTGTGTTGGTGGTGCTCCGCCTTTCTCCCCCAGCGGCTGGGGATTTCTGTGGTGGTGGTGG